TGTGTGTGTGTGTGTGTGTGTGTGTGTATCTGTGTATGAGTATCTATCTCTCTGTGTATGTTTGTGTGTGTGCGAGAGTGTGTATTTGTTTGCAAATGAATAGCGTATTCATGAAATAGTTCCCCCTTTAACCCTCGAAGCATGGGATTTGAAATGTTCCCCTCTGTACATTTACATACTCACGTGCGATAAGTTAAAATGTTGTTTCATTACCATAGATGAACCCCGTGTGTGCTTGATGCTTAGTCTCTTTAATGTTACAATGCGGTAAAAAAATTAGTGGCGCAACATATCCTCAAATATCTTTTCAACATGTGGATCAATGTCATCAATACTATGCACAATATTTTACATCAATTTGTCTCAGCTTAATCATGAAATTCCACGACAACTGAGATTAGATTTTTAAAAAAAGAAAGAACAAAACGTTTCCTTATAAATCTGTATAAGTTAATGCAAATTGCCATGCGGAAAATGGAAGTGTGAACAGCATTTCTACATAATGCATAGCCATTAACATCATTGTTTACAAATGACACTTTTTGGTGGAAAATTTCAGCGGACGCATAAATGCAATCTCCTGGTAAATTACCTGTGGAGTTGTAAAAAATTTCTGCTCCTATTAATTTGTCTGAGGAGCAGCAGGGTGATGAAGAGGAGGAATCAAATATGGGCATTGTGACAGGAAGGTGTTTTGGTCTGATGCCCGTCATTCTTGACTAAGTTAGATACTTGTGAGAAAGTATGATTCTTCAATCTTTTCAAATAATAACAAACAACTCTCAACGTAATAGTAATATAACTTACGAGTAAAAGAAGTGAGTAGCAGTGTAGGCCTAACCCACTCCTATTGGAAACACTTTGCAAAAACATAGTTAAAACAGAAAGTTTTTTTAAAACTTGCAACTTTCGTTCCGCACCAATAAGCTCTCAAAACATGCGTATAAACATAGTGTCGCGATCACAAGACAGGACAGACTGTCTTTTAAAAATGCTACCTTTCTAGCTCATGCGATTTTAACCTTTTCAAAATCTGCAGAAACCACTTCCTGCGTTTTATTAGTATTTATAATGGGACGTTCTAGAATACAGCGAACAGGTGTTTACCAAAATATTGATCTGTTGAGACAAGTTGATACAAGTCGGTGTGCAAACGTTGGAGAGTCAACCTTCAGTAGTTGAGATGAGATATCTGACAATAAGTTGCACTATAAACTGTTGACCTCACTAGCCATGTATTCATGTATGGTGTACCCTTGTGCCATTTTTGGTTTGATTCAATGCACTACGTGTTATGTTGGTTCAGTTCCTTTGTTTCTCGATTTTTGCTTTGCATGTATTTTCTTTCTTTATATATTATAATACATGTGTGCGTGTGTGTGTGTGTTTGTGTGTGTGTGTGAGTGTGTGTGTGTGTATGTGTGTGTGTGAGTG